AGCAAGTTGAAGAAGGTAATGGTAAATTCATTCATTCACCTACTGGAGGTGGCTAAGCACTCACCTGGTTTACTTCATGTCTGTAATGGGAGTAGATACAGGTTTATGTGTTTTTTATTGTATTACTGGTAAAACTTTTTAATCTGGCTTTTCTATTTTTTCTACCTCAGCTTAGTTTGAAAATATGCCATTTACTCATAAGGCTTCCTCTTTTTATTCATGAATGGGTCCGTCCATTGTTAGGATTGATCATAACAACCTATTTTTGACACACTTTCGAGTATTCCTTAAGAGTCCTGGTATTGCCTGTAATGGTCACATGGCAATGAGCTGAGCACGTTGCTAGTATGTTTTAGAACTAAAGTAAACATCAATGCAGTATTTTTATTTCATGTGTAACATCCCTGAAGTCTTGTTGCTCTTTTGCTATCATTATTATAAAATATTTCAGATACATAAAAAATACAAATAGTTATAACAAATACTTTACTCATGTACTTAATACGCAGAATTAGTATATGTTACCACTTGGGAGTTTAGTCCTATTTTGAGATCTGAGGTAGAACTTTTCTTTGCATCTTTTCTACATTTGCTTGAGAGCACATTGTGGTTTTCTAAAAGATCATCCATGCTCACTGCAGGGCAGCAGGGTTTTAAAATCCACCCTAGAGCCTCCAAGGACTGTTACCTAGACAGCTGAGATTAAGCCTCCTTTTTAAAAAAATTTTTTTTAAGTTGTCAATGGACTTTATTTTGTTTTATTTATATGTGGTGCTGAGAATTGAATCCAGTGCCTCACACATACTAGGCAAGCACTGTACCATTGAGCTTAGGAGCCCCTAAGCCTCCTTTTAAAACATTCTTTACAGTCTTTCTGCATCTGATTTCTTAATACTCTAATAATTCTGTGATAGTTTTCCTAAGAGGAAACCAGCTGCCCTTATGTGAGGTAGGGGAGGTCTACTGGGCCAAGGTTTTCTGACTCCTCTGGTGGAGCAGACCCCCTACCAGGTACGCCTGGCCTGCAGCAGAACCTGGTGACAGAAGTGTCCTCACCCTCACTTGGGATCGGGAGATCTGCCTTACCACCTGGGAAGGAGATTCTGAGTTACAGCCGCTGAAACGCAGGCTTCCTGTTTCTGGCTAACATTTAGATGTTTGGAATAATTTATTTATTCAACTCCTGGGCACCCTACGCTAGGCTCTCAGCTTGAAATGAAAAGTGTAATTTGCTTTGGATACTTTTTGAAACAGAAAAAATATAAATCTTAATTCACAAAATGGAATTTTGAAAAGTTTGATTCATCCATTAATAGACTACTCTGAAAAAAAATTTTGCTGAAGTTTACACAAAGCAATGAGGTATTCAGAAATTTTTCTCAATTTTGAAGCCTTTTATTGATATCCTAGAACCGTTGTGTTGGCTTTGCTACAGTTTTGTTTTTATAACACAAGGAAATCAAGTTGGACCAGGGTTTCTCAGACTTGGCACAATTGACACTTGGGATTCTGATATTCTGTGA